CCCAAAACCCCAAAACCCCAAAACCCCAAAACCCCAATTTTAAGAATAAAATATTATAGCATAAATAAAAATGAGCACAAATAACCTCGGCTACAGCATGGATGATCTGTTTGGCCTGACTTGTAAGTAGACAAAGAATTACAGTTAATATGTTATAGTAACCTTTGATCCTCTGAAAGAAATGCTTACGAATATTCTCAAAAGCCAGAACGAGCTTCAAATCGAAATGAAATTGCTGAAAGAAAGTATGGGTGGCAAAGCTGGACCTGAAATGATAGAAAAAACTAATTCAAAAGTAGCATGGATAGCGACTAACACTGAGAACCAGCTTCAAAAATTAACAGGTAAGCCTTTTGTCCTGAAAAATCTAACTTTTATATAGCTAAGGTCGATTCAAATGTAAGGAACGTCAAAATTTGACTTAACTCAAATATAGTTTAGGATGACTCAGCATAAAATAGAGCAAAATTTAGCCTCATATACCTCACTCTCTGGCAAAGTCCACGAACAGCAGATGAAATTTAAGGAATTCGATGAAATCTGTAAAGATCTGGAACAAAAATCAATTAGGACTGACACCCGGATTGATGATCAAATTTGAGATTTCGAAAATTATAAAATGGATATTGAGATGCAAAAATGGAAAGAAAATGACAAAAAGAAGGACAATGAAGACGTCAGTCAAGCTGTCGTGCAGAAAATAGAGGAAATGGTATCTTCAGTCTCAAAGAAAGTGCATCATCAGGGTGACACTCAAATTAAGCTCAATGATAAGATCGGTGACCTCGAGACCAAGGTGATCTTGCTAATACAAGCAGCCAAGAACAAAAAAGCAGGCAAGGAAGATCCCAACCTCTTTGACGGTGTTGGAGAAGTGGTCTCAGCAGTAGACCATCTTAAAGAAAAGATGAGAAGCCAATATACCCAGCTGACTGAATTTAAAGAAATAGAACAAAAGGTGGAGATCCTTAATAAATTTTATCTTGATGAGAAGGAATTCAAGTCCGAACAAGAGAAAGCTAAGGAAGAGTTAGAGGATCGGCTTAGCGATATGAAAATCGAGGCAGAAAAGCTAAAGAAAGAAATGAATAATTTAAAGGAAGATCGATTCAAAACTATCGAGAATCAACTTGTTGAAAAAGTTGATTATTCCGAGTTTGAAGCCACTGTGAATAATATCCAGAATTATTTTGAGAATAACGCAAGCGAAATTTCAGTAGAATCAAAGTTAAGAGACTCTCATTTTTCAAAGACTATTCACGAGTTAAGAAGCAGTCAGAACAGGGATGACGAGTCTGACTCCCTAGTGGATGACGAAGATATAGATATAAAATCAAGTCCAAGAATAGAGAAGGATTCACCTCCTGTTAGCCGCAAGCCTTCTAGAGATCGAACCCCTGCTATTACTGGAAAGCCAAGACCTTCTTTGACTATCACCAAAATTCAAGAAAGAGGGAGTTCCAAAAATGTCATCACTGGCTTAAAATCTCCTACTAAAAAGATTGTTCTGAAAAATAAGAAAGCATTGGGAAGGAAAGGTCCTTCCTTCATTCCTCGAGAAGCTGTTCGTATGAAAGAAATGGAGCGGAAAATCAAAGATCTTGATGATAGATTAGGCAACGTTGTCAAAAACTCCAAGGACAGTGTAGTCCCCATAATAGAGAAAAGGGTTGATGGGATCCGGGAAGAGATTGAGAACAAAGGTTCGCTTGGTCTTTACACTTTACTAACTTTCTATAGCATCTAAACTTGAGCTTAAAAAGCTCAAATCGGACGTCCAGCTTTGAGCAGAATACAATAAAGAAATTGATAACGAAATCACAGATTTTAAGAAAGATGGACTCGTTGGAGAGAAAGGGAAGAAAATTGAAGAAGAGGTTTCTCTCACTTCGAGCAAGCTTGCTCAGCTAGAGGGTAAATTTTCTTGGCTCCATGAAGCTCACAAAGAGTTGAAGAAAACTACAAATGATTCATTAAAGGCTTCACAGCCCTTGATGATAGGCAACATTGATACAAACAAAACTGTCAATTCTGAAGTAGTCTTTGAATTAAAGGAAGAGATTCGAAAACTTGATCGAGAAATCAAAGATTTAGCCAGCCATCTTAAAATAACTGTTGGAGATCTGAAGGCCAAAATTAGCGAAAAAGTGGATGAAAGGAACTTGAGTGAACTAGAAGACCAGCTGACTACAGATATGGATCAAATTATCCGCAGTAAGTGTAAGAATACTACCAATTAGGCTTCAACAGAAGATTTGCAGAGAAACAAGATACTAAGAAAAGTATTAGACATATTGAAAGACAAATCAGAGTGATTCATGAAACTGTTGGAATTGGAGGCCCAAACTTTATGAATAATAGGTAAAATTGCTTCATGAATCTATAGAATCTCTAATGAAGTCAACCCTCTTTTAAATCAAAATGTGAGAAGAAGTAATGCAGAACTCTTTGGCACTGAAAGTGAAGTCGAAAGAAGCAGAGGCAATCCTCATGATTTTGGAGGAGTAGATCCTTCCAGAACTTTCAATGTAAAATCACCAGATTTTGAGCAGAATTCTGTTAGAAATTTAAAGAAGAACACCAAGCTTGGGAAATCTAATAATGAGAAAATAACCGTCCCTCTTCAAGGAAGCCTGACTAGTCGGATATATAATGACATCGATCTAGATTTGGAAAATGCTCCTTCAAAATCTCCAGGAGATGGAAGACAAATTTTAGAGAACCTAAAGGGTCACAAAGTTACTAAATCGGTTAGCAAAGTTAATCTGGTGTATCCAAAGGATTTGAAAGAAGCTTCAAGTTCTCGCTTGCCAGAAATCAAATAATCCATCCTCTATCCTTAAAATATCTTTAGAACGACGCTATGAGCTTATCTGAATTGTCTAAATCAATTATATTCCTTAATTTTGGGGTTTTGGGGTTTTGGGGTTTTGGGGTTTTGGGGTTTTGGGGTTTTGGGG